GGCGGGGGGGCCGGGGGAGTGGGCGGAACCAACGAAGCTCGGGGAGATCCGGGTGTTAAAAGCTGGTTGGATATGAGTGAAAGGGACCCAGACGGTAGGAGGAAGGAGACCCGAAACGGCACCGGAGGGATTAGAAAAAAAGGAAAAGAATGGGGATGATGGTGGCTTTCCCTTCAGTGAGTGGGCACTGGGAGAAAGGGAGGAGGTCCATCAGGCCTAGGCAGTTGAAGAAGGTTAAGAACCTTTTGGAGACGGAGGAGGTATGATGTGAAGTAGCCCACCCAGTCGAAGTCATTTAGATTGCTGGCGCATTCCCTCTTCTTACCCACCTTTTCCACCTCAGATCCCCCGTCCTACCCATCCTAGCTTTAACTCAGCCATAATTGCCTTGCTTAATCCCAGGAACCTGACCACTGCTCCTTGGTCCTTGGCATTAGGACGGGATTCCCTTGTCACCTCTGACAGTTCCTGGCTGCAGTGTCCGGACTGGCTGGGGAGTGATGACAGGTAGCCATCAGAGCTCCAGCCTCCAGGCAGCTTTAGGGATTAAAATGGAGGCCAAAGCAACTCCAGACCTGTTTTTATAGCCAAATACTGTGGTGCCTCCGGGGTTGTACACTCAGGGGCTTCCAGGAAAATGCCAACCTTACCTTTCTGGAGTGCCTTTTAATAACCTCTAAGCACTTTATGGACTGATTGTCGAGGGACGGTGAATCAGGAGAATGACTATTCTGATTTCCTTTGTCTCCGAAAAGGAATTCCCTGACTATATAACTTTGGGCAAGTTACTTCACCTCTTTGTGCCCCAGTTTTTTCCTTGGAAAACTGGATTTAGGTTAGATGATCTTTTAAGGCTCCTTGTATGATATTTTGTGATCTGTACATGGCAGAGTATAGATTAGAAGCCACATTTTGCAACCTAGTGCTATGGTTCAGAATACATAGTACCCCAAGCGTCTGGCTGGGGCCGAGGATGGGCCCTCCAGTTCTTGGCACAGATGTTCCAGAGCCCACGAAGCATCCCATAACCAACCATCAGCCCATCATCTGCTCCATTTTGCTCTTGCCCTCACAGACTTTCAGCCTCCATGCTCTGAGACAACTGTGGATAGGTACATCTCTTTTGGTGAAAATGATGCTTGAGAACCCAAAAGATTAAAGGAAACAATGTTAGGGGCTTTTGTGGGGATAAAAGATAATGGGTATGTGGAATAGAAACATTTCAAATGAAGAATCAAAACATTTCAATCAATCCACTTGGTTGTAAAAAAACAAAACAAATAAAACACTTAAGCAACTTGAATAGTAAATGGCATCAGAAGATGGCAGTCTGCTCCATAACCAGAGCAAGTGCAGCGGGAAAGCTGGACTCTCATACCCACTCACATTCATGCCTTATGTCTCTCCTCCTGGTTAACCTTAAGAGGGGAGTGATTCCTCTGCTGGTTGCTGCTTTTCCTTTTCTCTTACCCTATTCCTAACCTCTTTGCTTCTCTCTTTCTTTCCTTGTGTCTCTCCCTTCTCATCACTTTTTTTCTTTTAACATACAGGGCATTTACCTTCATTTTGTCTATTTCCATTTGTTTCCTTCTTCATTCTTGTTCATCTCTGTTATTCCTTCTCCCTCCAGAAGGGATGGAAACCCTATTTTCTTTTCTCCAAGACTGTGGTTGGTCTACTTTCCTCACTCGGGCTCCTTGACAGTCTTCTAGAAGAGAGGAGGAGGAAAAGAAGCAGTTTCTGATGTTACAAATGAACAAGGATCTCCCAGGTAACCAACTCTCCACACCCATTTCTGTTACTAATTTTTCAAAGAGAAATTTCTGGTTCCCCTTCTTCCTTATCACTGAGTGAAGGGGGACAGGCATGCACATGTGCCCATACATGCATTCAGAATAGAGTGTGGGGGCGGGTGCGATGGATCACGCCTGTAATCCCAGCTCTTTGGGAGGCTGAGGCAGGTGGATCATTTGAGGTCAGAAGTTCAAGACCAGCCTGGCCAACATAGTGAAACCCTGTCTCTACTAAAAATACAAAACTTAGCCGTGCATGGTGACTCATGCCTGTAGTCCCAGCTACTCAGGAGGCTGAGGCAGGAGAATCACTTTAACGGGGAGATGGAGGTTGCAGTGAGCTGAGATTGTGCCACTGCACTCCAGCCTGGGTGACAGTGAGACTCCGTACCAAAAAAAAAAAAAAAAAGAATAGAATATGGGGCTTGTTACCATGCCCCTCCTGTCCACAACCTTAGTCTTTGAGAAAAGATGACTGAAAGAGAGGAACCCTCCAAGTCATTCCTCAAACAAATGCCCATTTAAACATCATCCTTGTGAAGAAAACAGGAAGAATGTCATGTACCACGTGGATCACCTTCAGTTCAAAGTTGCAGCAAAGTGAAGAAACTACTGGAAGCCACCCAGCAATGCACTGTTTAGTCATCAATTAGGAGCCCACGGGAGGATAATAGGGAGACTGGGTGGAGGCTCAGTTTGTAATAATCTCTTGTCTAATGTATGTGTGTCACTGCCATGTTGTATTAACAATAGTGAGGGCTCACATTTACTTAATACTTGTGTGCTAAAATCTGTTTTTTTTTTCTTTCCAGAACTATGACTCGATCGTAAAATCTGTTTTGTTTGCATGCATGCCCAAAACAACTCTATGAGTAGAACATTATCATTATCTGTATTTTAGAGATGAGGAAACAGGATCAGAGAAGCTCAGTGATTTGTTCAAGATCACACAGCTAGTAAATGGCAGAAGTAGGATTGTGAACCCAGGGAATCTCCAGAGCCTCTGTGTAACCATGATGTTATATTTTTTTCCTCTTTTAAAACAAAATTAAAAACCTTGCTATAATCTCTTATGAAAAGACCATAGTTTCTGATTGTGCTCTGCCTTCCCATCCTGCCAATCTTCTGGACTGGCTTGGAGAAGACGGGGGGCCCCCAAGCTTCATCTGTGACTTAAAGGAGTTTGCTGCTGTCTCCTGTGTCAGTGTCCCATCAGCACGGGACCCCCCTCACCTGCCTACTTACACTCTAGCCTTTCCATACATTGGAATTGTCTCCTGGCCCTAGCCAGCGCTCCACACCTGTTGGTGTGCCACCTCCCTCCCTCTTCCCCCACTGGCCTTGAACAGATAAACCCCCTACTGTTGCCACTAGGTTGGGTCCATGACTGAGACACCTGCTAGAGGGTCTGTGCTTGGGCCTTTTCTAGGAATCCTGATGTTACTGGGTAAGTGCCAACTCTGTGGGCAGAATGCTAATGATAATCCTGTTCCCTAAGCTCTTTCTCTCTGAGAAGTACCCTGGCTCACTCCCCCCAATCTCAGCTTTATAGAACAACATTTTGGTCTTGATTATTCCCATATTGAGCTGCCCCAAGGCTTGGGTAAGCTGTTAGTTTCCCCACTGCCTCAGGGCTGGGTCTGGCTGAGCTACTTTCTTATGCACACAAATAATGGGTGTCTCCTTGGAACCTGACTTTACATAACTATCAGTGCTACCAAACCTTGTAAAATAGGGAAGAAACTAATATTTCTTGAGTGGCTCTCTGGAGAGATTCCCTGCCCTGATGCCTTTGGTGTGTACTCCTTTCCCAGGACTTCAGCACTGAGATTTTCCCAACCCCCTGGCTTACCCTCGCGTTGGGTTGAGCTGATTCAGCACTACCACAAACCCCACCATCTGCAAATCAACCAAGATTAGTCAGTATGCCCTTTCTATCTTGCACTGCTCTTCCAAAACTTCCATCTGTATTTCTCATACCCCCAGTAAGCAAAGCTGAGTGTGCTAGGAGAGAGCTGCATCTACTGCTTTCTCCCAGCCAGGTGCAGTCTAATCTGACACAGGGAACGCTAGAAGTTTAGCGGAATCTTCAGCCACCCTATTAATGTGTCACACATTAGGCGTTATGGTGGAAACTCCTCTGACGGCTCATGACTGTATGAACAGGAGCAATTTGGAATATAACATGCCAGCGGTGCACTGGGAAGTGCTGTAAGAGAAAACACTACCAAGGTCATAGGCTTGGGTCCTTGAGGCAATCCAGCTCTGTTGCCCATTCCTCTCATCCAGACCGCAGGTATCTGCCTACACCTACCTGTCCCATAGCTTCCGTCCTGTTTTGTTTGTTTTTCTTTGTGAATGTAGAAAAACATTTCATTGTGAGCCCTAGCTCCTCGGTTTTCCATCTAACACCTACATTCCCTTGTTTCTAACTGCTATGGTTTTCTGGAGCCTGTTGGGGTCTTTACAGTTTGCAGGTCACAGAATCAGACCTGAAAAGGCTTCTCTTCAGACATCATTGGCTCCAGGCTCCTTTACAGATGAGAACACAGGTCCAGAGGTGAGAAACGACTCTAGCAGGGTCATAGAATTTGTTAGTGCAGCTCAAGATGGGACTTAAACTCAGGCCTCCTTATCGCATCCCATTCCCAGGCTAAGAAACAGGTCTGTGCTGGGTGTAGTGGTTCATACTTGTAATCGCAACACTTTGGGAGGCTGAGGCAGGAGCGTTGCTTGAGCCCAGGAGTTTGCGACTTAGTGACATAGTGGGACCCTGTCTCTAGAAAAACTTAAAAAATTAGCTAGACATGGTGGCACACGTCTGTAGTCCCAGCTATTCGGGAACCTGAGACAGGAGGATCGTTTGAGCGCAAGAGTTGGAGGTTACTGAGCTATGATCACACCACTACACTCCAGCCTAGTGACAGTGAGACCCTCAAAAAATATATAAAATAAAAATAAGAAAAGAAAGAGGTCTCTACACAAACCCGTGATTTTCCATGGCAAAGGATAACATCATAAATGTTTCATTTTCTGCTATTAGTTTCCATTCCTTTCCCCATCCAGGCGAAAAAGAGAAACAAAAGACAATGACAGTATTTTCTGTGTCCCCAACTTTGGCACTTTTGTTGATGTTGCTAAGGAGCAGTGACCTTGCTAAAAAGACTGAATAATCCATCCACTGAATAGCTAACCTGGGGAGGAAATGAAAATTTCCTATGTGAATCTTCCCAAATCAACCCTGTGCACTTGGCCCTCAACCCAATAGTATTGTGCCTCACTTCGACTTCCATGGGCAACTGCCCTCCCTTCTGGACATAAAACCTCACATTTTAAATAAAGTTGAAATATGAAAAGAAAGTATGTAATAAGATATTCAGAAGTATTGTGTGTTTGGGGCTAAGGGCAGCAAGAGACTCAGAAGCAAGATTCCCTCCTTGACTCAATTTCTTGGTCACCTTGTTTCTTTTTGTGTGTGTGTCCAGAAAAATTTAGTAAGTTTGCTTATAATTATTATAAAGTTGAACCACTGAAACATTTTGACTTGCATTAATGCTTTACTTCCCCACCCACATTTTTATTAAAAATTCACACACACATGAAAATTGAAAAACTGACAACACCTGACTTCTGTCTCCTATTCTGCTCACAGTCATATACTTAGGTACCTTTTGACCCCATGGGGGAAAAAAATCTAACATTCAGAACTGCCAATAACAGGAAGCAGAGACTTTTTTTTTTTTTTTTTTGAGAATGAAGTTTCCCCTATCATAATGGATTCTTAAGTACATTCTTCACGCATGCAGCATGCTAACTGGATGTCTTTTGACATAGGTGTTACACGTGTGGCATGGACAACACACAGGTTGGTGTCTTCAAAAGGCCAACCAGATAGGCTTTGCTTGCCTCCTGCAAGGCACCACTAAGCTGCACTCTGGAAGGGCAAATCTCTTTTAAAGTCCTGAGCAATTTCTCACACCAGATGCTGGAAGGGAAGTTTGCGAATCAGTTCAGTAGATGTCTGATAATGTCTAATTTCAGGGAGTACCACAGTACCAGGCCTGTAATGACGAGGTTTCTTCACCCTCCAGTAGAGGGCACACGCTTGTGAGCAGTTTTTGTGGGAGGTCGGGGGGAGTGTGTGTGCGTTGTTTTTTGGGTTTTTTTCCTGAGACAGAGTCTTGCTGTCGCCCAGGCTGGAGTGCAGTGCACGATCTCGGCTTACTGCAACCTCAGCCTCCCCAGGTTCAAGCGATTCTCCTTGCCTCAGTCCCCGAGTATCTGGGACTACAGGCACGCACTGCCACACCCGGCTAATTTTTTTTTTTTTTTTTTTTTTTTTTAAGTAGACACGGGGCTTCACTATGTTGGACAGACTGGTCTTGAACTCCTGACCTCAAGTGATCTGCCCGCCTCGGCCTCCCAGAGTGCTAGGATTACAGGCGTGAGCCACTGTGGCTGGCCAATTTTTGTTGTTGTTGCTTATTTGTTTGTTTGTTTGAGACGGAGTCTTGCTCTCCCAGGCTGGAGTGCAGTGGCGCCATCTCAGCTCACTGCAACCTACGCCTCCTGGGTTCCAGCGATTCTCCTGCCTCAGCCTCCAGAGTAGCTGGGATTACAGGTGCGTGCCACCACGCCAGGCTAATTTTTGTATTTTTAGTGGAGACGGGGGTTTCACCACGTTGACCAGGCTGGTTTCGAACTCCTGACCTCAGATGATCCACCCGCTCGGCCTCCCAAAGGGCTGAGATTACAGGTGTGAGCCCCTGCGCCGGACGCCCAGTTTTTGTTTGTTTGTTTGTTTGTTTGAGACGGAGTCTGGCTCTCCCAGGCTGGAGTGCAGTGGCGCGATCTCGGCTCACTGCAAGCTCGGCCTCCCGGATTCACACCATTCTTCTGCCTCAGCCTCCGGAGTAGCTGGGACTACAGGCGCCCGCCACCACGCCCGGCTAATTTTTTATGTTTTTAGTAGAGACGGGGTTTCACCGTGTTAGCCAGGATGGTCTCGATCTGCTGACCTCGTGATCTGCCCACCTCGGCCTCCCAAAGTGCTGGGATTACAAGCGTGAGCCACCGCTCCCGGCCGTTTTTGTATTTTTTTTAGTAGAGTCGGGGTTCTGCCATGTTGGGCAGGCTGGTGTCGAACTCCAGGCCACACGTGATCCGCCCGCCTCGGCCTCCTGAAGTGCTGAAATTACAGGCATGAGCCATCTCGCCCAGCTGGAGCAGCTTTTGTAGCCAGTTGCTTCCTGGGTGCTTTACCTCCAGTCAATTTGTGAGCAGTCTGCTTTGTGTGAGACTGTGAGAGAGACCTCCTTACTTACTCCCCTTCTTCAGCTAGAGCTCAGGGAGCTAGAGATGGCCCTGGTTAGAGAGCTACCTTATTTCCTAAAAGTCCTATTCTCTTTCTACTGGAGTGCCCTCTGGCTATGCAAACGCGGAGAGGAAGGATTTTTGGAGGACTCAGGCAGGCCTGACCTAAGACACTCCCAACGGGATCCTATCATCATTTTGGGTAGTGGGAAATTTACCAAGGCCCAGCTCTTCTCTGGAACCCAGTACCAACTGCTTTAACCAAGAGTTAAAGGGAAGAGCTTGGGGAAAGCCCTGCGTTTCTCCTTGGGTGGGGGAATCCTTCCTTAAGGAGGCCATCTGAATTACATTCTGCTGCTGCTTTTTTTTTTTTTTTTTTTTTTTTTTTAAGACAGAGTCTTACTCTGTGGCTAGGCCAGAGTGCAGTGATGCAATCTCGGCTCACTGCAACCTCCGTCTCCCGGGTTCAAGCGATTCTCCTGCCTCAGCCTCTGGAGTAGCTGGGACTACAGGCGTGCACTACCATGGCCAGCTAATTTTTGTATTTTTAGTAGAGACACGCTTTCACCCTGTTGGCCAGGATGGTCTCTATCTCTTGAGCTTGTGATCCGCCCCCCTCGGCCTCCCAAAGTGCTGGGATTACAGGCCTGAGCCACCGCACCCGGCCTACATTCTACTTCTTAAGTGCTGGATGGAAGAGCAAAGCACTTACCAAATGCAACCCCCTAAAGCGGAGGAGGAGAAATATGGAAAGGAAAAGCAAGGATGTCTGCCTAATTCAGAATGGAGTGATCCATTATACAAGGAAGAGGTCCTTGAAAAAGATTAAGTTCTAACAGGATTGACTTCTACATCACTTGAATAATGAAAGAATCCAATTACCCTCAAAGTAATTAGAATGTTCCTACTAGGGAAGCCCTACCCTGAGAATAACAGATGCCTCCTCATTACATCATAATGGCCAAGTTGTGATGTCGGCACAGAGCACTTACTGGTCAGTAAGTGTTGTAAGTGAAACAAGATATGCTGAAGAGCAGAATCAGCATGAGGAGCAGACACCCCAGGAGAGGTAAGTGGGTTCGCTCCATGGCTTATTGTCCAGGGTCTCTGTGGCCCCAACCTCATTGCAGACTTCTCACATTTTTGATTAGGTGTGTCTGAACTCTTTTCTCCACTAACCTTCAATGCAGCTTTTGCTATCCCAAGTCTATCCGAAATCCTCAATCATTGCAGTTCGTACTAATCAGCCCTCCAGCTCTGATATTTCTTAGGAGACAGAGCCCAGGGTACTGGAGTATGATTTCCCCAAATGGCCCAGAAACTCCCCATATCCATTCGGTTAGTCCCAGGGGTAGATCCAGGTTTTTGGGTGCCTGAAATGTGTAACTTTTGGAGCCCCCTTTAAGAAAAATAAATACAAGATTAGGGGGAAAACGTGAATATTTGTTTTAGAATGAGAAAAGCTGTCAACGAATAATTTTTTTAAAAGCTGTCAAAAATTGTCTACCTGACAAACCTATATATTAGTCTACAATTTTTTTAAGCTGCCTGCTCTGATAGCCTTTTCATATGATAAATACGTTTTCCTAAAGAGAAAAGTAATTCAGTCTTCCAGAAAGATTGATCATATTTCAAAAATCCCCCACCTTTTTTTTTTTTTT